AATCCCTCGCACAAAACCAAACCACTGGCAGCTGCAATCGAATGCAATGTGTTCGTGCACATGTCACCTGAAAGGACAGAAGGACGACCTACGCAGTGGAGTCACCCACCTGCCACCCACCTGCATATGCAATTTGCGCAATTTTGCAGCCCGGGTGAGCAAATATTTGTCACCCAGTATCCAGTATCCAACAGTACCTGATCCCCGATTTGTAAACGGGCTTCGAAATGAAAATCGAAATCCTTCCGCAGGACGACGGACAGGCCATTGAGAGTCTGTGATTGGTTACCAATATTTTAATTATGGCTCCTGGTTATTGGATCTTAAATCTTAAAACTTAAATCATAGTTTCAATTAATTAGAGGAGTTGGAATCCTCAAAAACGACCTCATCATCGCTCACTTGGCCAGCACTTTTGATGGTCCGATAAATCAAAAGTGATTCCGCCAACCGGACAAGTGGGCGTGACCCGGCATCCTCGGTCTCGGCCCATAAAAATGTCCTGTCCATCGACAAGCAATCACCCCTTCGACCGCTGAGCACCAAGTACCGAGTACCGAATGCCGAAACTGAAACTGAACCTGAAACTGGATAATAATAAATTTTCAATCAGCAAATTGATGTCGTGATTCCCGGCATCCTCGAATCGAAGTTGAAATGGGAATGGTCAAGTAAATCAAGTAATCATTTAGCGGCAGATTGTCCCGAGCTGTTATCTATATTAAAGTGGTTGGCATTATCCACTACGCCCTCCCCCTGCCACTCTTTACTTTCGAAGACTTTGGAGGCGGTGGTGACTTAAATCACATTCAGTTAACTTTTGGCCATAAATGGATTAAAATGGCGATTAATTCGGGCTTCTAGGGGGAGTACTCTGTCCTTTCTATGGCCCACACCGCTTTCTCTACATTCCCAAGACTATTGAGCAATCTTTCAATGGTTCTTTCATTTCTATAGCATTGATGAGTCGAATAGGAATAGGTTTTATGTTTCCCAATTTTCAAAAGAGTCTTTCGGAAAAATTCGAAAAAATAGGGGAAAAAAGTGGCTTCCTAGGCTTAAATGCAGAGAATCGTTCTACGATTCCAGAACTGTATCCCTTTTTCGGATCGGATAACTACTCCCCAAGATACAGCCTCCGGAATAGGCCATATTTTTGATTTCCTGGATTTCCCCATTTTTCAAGGGGATCCATCAGGAAAATTCGAAAAATATCGAAAAAAAATTTGCTTCCCAGGTTTGACTGCAGTTTCATAGAAAATCGTTCTACGATTCCAGAACTGTATCCCTTTTTAGGATCTGATAAATATATCCCAAGATACAAGCTTCGAAAGAGACCCTATTTTCGATTTCCTGGATTTCCCCATTTTTCAAGGGGATCCATGAGGAAAATTCGAAAAATATCGAAAAAAAATTTGCTTCCCAGGTTTGAATGCAGTTTCATAGAGAATTGTTCTAAGACTCCAGAACTGTATCCCTTTTAAGGATCGGATAAATATATGCCAAGATACAGCCTCCGGAATAAGCCATATTTTCGATTTCCTAAATTTCCCCATTTTTCAAGGGGATCCATCAGGAAAATTCGAAAAATATCGAAAAAAAATTTGCTTCCCAGGTTTGAATGCAGTTTCATAGAGAATCGTTCTACGATTCCAGAACTGTATCCCTTTTAAGGATCGGATAATTACTCCCCAAGATACAGCCTCCGGAATAGGCCATATTTTCGATTTTCTGGATTTTCCCATTTTTCAAGGGGGTCCATCAGGAAAATTCGAAAAAAATTAGTTTCCCAGGTTTGAATGCAGTTTCATAGAGAATCGTTCTACGATTCCAGACCTGTATCCCTTTTAAGGATCGGATAACTACTCCCCAAGATACAGCCTCCGGAATAGGCCATATTTTCGATTTTCTGGATTTCTCCATTTTTCAAGGGGATCCATCAGGAAAATTCGAAAAATATCGAAAAAAAATTTGCTTCCCAGGTTTGAATGCAGTTTCATAGAGAATTGTTCTAAGACTCCAGAACTGTATCCCTTTTAAGGATCGGATAAATATATCCCAAGATACAGCCTCCGGAATAAGCCATATTTTCGATTTCCCCATTTTTCAAGGGGATCCATCAGGAAAATTCGAAAAATATCGAAAAAAAATTTGCTTCCCAGGTTTGAATGCAGTTTCATAGAGAATCGTTCTACAATTCCAAAACTGTATCGCTTTTAAGGATCGGATAACTACTCCCCAAGATACAGCCTCCGGAATAGGCCATATTTTCGATTTTCTGGATTTCCCCATTTTTCAAGGGGATCCATCAGGAAAAATTGAAAAATATCGAAAAAAAATTTGCTTCCCAGGTTTGAATGCAGTTTCATAGAGAATTGTTCTAAGATTCCAGAACTGTATCCCTTTTAAGGATCGGATAAATATATCCCAAGATACAGCCTTCGAAAGAGAATAATTAATTCCATAGGTCTTTCATCCCTTTCTACCTCTATTTGTTTTATTTATTAAAAGTTTCCAACTTCCATATTTAATGATTAAGTTTAGTGTTTATTTTTAATAGAATTCCTTGTTTACTGGAAGTTTCTAGCTTAGTGAGAAAACCCCCGACTGGTTTCGATTTCAAAGGAAAAATTGGAAATTGGTCCGATTTCCCCTCCGAAGGTAGGCTCCAATTTCCTGGAAAGCAGATTTCGGTTAGCAGCGGCTTCCGTTTTGGAAATTTGTGCCATTTCCCTCTTTGATTTCCGCACTCAAAGCGGACCCCTCCGCCTCTCCGCCCGTGGCCCTTGGGTTTTCCGGGCCCCAACTTTTGGGATCATAATCACGATGGGATCTGGATGATGATGGGAAGTTGCTGTTGATGTTGCTGCTGCCGCTCCAGTGTTGTTGCAAATTGCAAAATGATATAATTCAATGAGAGTTGATTAAATTATCAGGGCTGTCGGTTGTCTGTTGTCGGCTGTCGGTGGAGCATCGTTGACACTCGTCCCCCACCACCGCCCAGCTCCCCCTGGCCCAGCAATACACCGGACGTTGCTGGTGTTGCTGTTGCAGTTGCAATTTCTGTTGCTGTTGCTGCTGTTGCCTGTGTGCCTTGTTAATGAAATTTTCCGCTCCTTTAGCCGAGGCTCCGTCCGTGTTTGTATTGTTTACATCAGAGTGTGTGTATCGGTATAGGTGTGCCAGGGAGTGTGTATGTGTGTGTGTATGTTGCCTGTTTATTATTGCAGAGTGTTGTTGCTGTTGCTGGTGGGGCTGGTTGGAGCTTCGGCTTTTGTCTGTTGTTGCAGCTGATGATGATGACGTTGACGTTGCATGATGAAATAACAAACCGGATTAATTTGATTTTGCATCCAAGCGATGCAGGCCCAAGTCCAAAAGCCTGCTCCGGGCCCGGCCAGGAGCGGCTCCTGTGCCGCACCAGTGTGTGTGTGTGTGGAAATTAATTTGACATCAGTTGGCAGTCCCCTGGAACAGTGGAGGGTAATTTCAGACCCGAATCTCATCTTTATGTTGTTCCTATTCCACGCCCGAGTAATCTGCCAGGGAATCGATTGCAAGGAGTCTTAAAAGGACTTCCAATTCCGTCCTAGAAAGGACCTCTATAACCTCTTTTTCAAGTGCATCGAGGAATGGCACAACGCATCGCATTTATTTTGGAGGGCACTTTGCCAAACTACTCACCGAGTTGTAAATTTCCTGGGCTGAAACTTAACTGAGTGGCTCCACCCCGCCGTGGCACATCCTTTTCGTCCTTGGCTCCGTGCTCCTCCAGTTCGGGTCTGCCAATTTCTCATGCAACCAGATTTATGGGTCCGGCGATTCAAGTCGCCTTGGTAGGCATCCAAAACTGGTGACAGAACCAAAAGCCAAGCCGCTTTATCTTCGTTTTGGTATCCTTCCTTTAGTACCCTCCCAAAGGAGGGCCACGCCCCGTGCCGCCCACTTAACCCGCGCACGATTTGTTGGGATTTGAGCAATCCGTGTGAAAGGGATTGGAGGGTCTTGAGGGGTCTGAGGGTTCTCCATGCTTCTTGGCCAAGGAATTTCCAGCAGAAATGTCGCCACAACGGCAGTCCCCATCCCCCCTGCCTGTCCTCCAGCTCCAGGACCTCCTTACTTTTCCCGCCAGCTGGCCTGCTTTGCATATTTTGCTTTTTTATTATAAATTTTCATTCTGCTGCTTCCACAGAGCCACTTCACTTGAATCCTCGTCGATTTCACTTTACCGGGCAATCTTTGGTGTTTTTCAGGGCCACCACTCCCTTCTCCTTCCTCCTCTAGCCGGGAGTCGAGTCCCCCACCACCGCCCCTCTTGGAATACATGACTAATAGCAGAACTAAACGATTTGATGGACCAGAAAAATGATGACTTCTTTTCGGTACAGACACAGGGAATTGTTCGAAAGGTTAAGGGTTGCCCAGGGGTCTGATTCCGGGGGTGGTTCTTACTTGCGAAATCCTTTCTGTGGTCCTGTGTGGCAAATCCTTTTATTGTGACAGTTGTTGTTGCCGGTTGCCGGTTGTTGGTTGCTGGTCGCCTTTGTGATCAACATTTAATGTTTTCATATTATCATCGTTGTTGTTGCCGCCCAAGAATCGGTTTAATGTCTCGGAAGATAATCTAATTTGGTCACTTATATGCGAATATGTATATCATTTGCCATTCGGTGTGTGGCGAGCAGAGTCCTCACAAGGGAGGTCCTCCAGTGCCTGTGCCTGTGCCTGAGCCGAGGGGTTTACGGCCCAAGTATTAGCATTTAAAAAACATTCCATTTACATTTTTTCGATTTGAATGAGTTTTTATTTAATAATTTGCAATTTGCATGCCATTTGAATGGGATTAGAGAGGAGCCAGTGGCCAGTGGCCATTGGCCGGCACTGAATGGGTCAGCGGCCATATGGGCGACATCTTGGAGCTATCCACAGAGTCACTTTTAATGTCACTTTTTGCAAGAATTTAAATAGTAGCCTCTAACCTCCATCTATTAATATTGCAGGTCTGGTTCCAGAATAGACGAGCCAAGTGGCGCAAAACGGAAAAGGTATGGGGCGGCAGCACCATTATGGCCGAGTACGGTCTCTACGGGGCCATGGTCCGGCACTCGCTGCCCCTGCCAGACACGATCCTCAAGTCGGCCAAGGACAACGATGCGGTGGCACCCTGGCTACTAGGTATGGATCAGAAATGTAAATGCAACAATCATATCGAATATCTCACAGTACTTCCCCACCTACCCCCACAAAACTATAAACTATAAACTAGACTTCTAAAGGACTAGGCTTACAATTGGCACTATTATGGAAAGGGATGGGGACTTTAATTAAATTTCGAATCGCACAAAGGACAGCGGTTCGGGGATTATAAAATGATAGCGGCTGGATGTTGGATTGGATGTTGGATTGCCATTCGGGCAAATTGTGAGCATATTTGGCGTGCATGTCCGAGGAGCTGGAGCGCGCATCTTCCACATTTCGGTCATATGTTGCGCGCACATTCCCCGGAATGACTTTGCGGATTAGCAGACAATAAACTCCGTGCCCGACCCGGCCTGAGGACAAGTGCCTCGGGGGTGGATCGTCCTTTATTCGTTAATAATCGCTTAATAAATGCAAAATGCACACGCTTCCCGGGTGCTGGGCTTCTGGGGTGATGGGGTGATGAATTCCCGTTCTATTATCTATTTCGAGGGGTGCCTCGGAGTCGCATTCCTCGCAAGATCCCAACTACTGGCGAATTAATTCCCAAGTAGCCGTGGCCAAAAGTGGCTTAGCGGGTAGCGTTTTTAATTAAGTCGAATGTCAAATTAGTTGGCAATTGATTTCCAGGGGCAGGATGGCAGGCCCTTCTCTAAAGGATTCCCACAATTAACTCGAGAGTAAACAGACTGACTGATGTTCCCAATTATCCCGCAGGCATGCATCGGAAATCCATTGAGGCCCAGTCCGCCCTCAAGGACGATTCCGGGGTGAGCGACCACGAGGACTCCGCCGGCTCCAAGTCTGCCCACTCGGAGGAGCTGCGCTCCCACTCGCGAGCTCTCAGCTCATCCACAGAGTCCCTCAACGTGGTCAGCCCGGCGCCCAGCAGCTGCACCACCTCCGCTTCGACGGCGCCACCCACCTCGACCACGCCCCACGGTAGCAGTGGCTACGCTGGAGCCGACACTCCCACCCCGGGCGGGGCCACCACCAACAGCTCGGGCAGTCCCCACATCGAGCTCAGCTCCCCCTCGCCCCAGCAGCAGTTGCAGCACCAGCAGCCACCGATGGGGCAGGCGGGGCAGGTTCCGGTGCAGATGCCCCATTACCTGGGCACTGGCGGCGTTGGAGTCGGAGGTGTGTCTGCCGCGCCCAGCTACCATCCGCTGTTGGACGCGGCCAATGCCGCCGGTGCAGGTGCCGCTGCCTCCAGCAAGGACTTTCATCTGATCATGAACACGGCCGTGGCAGCAGCAGCGGCTGCGGCACAGCAGCAACAGCAGCAGCAACAGTCGCATGTGGCAAGTACCCCGCCCGGCTTGCACGCCCACCACCTGGCTGCTGCTCTGATGGAACACGATCCGGATGCTTTTAGGTAATAGTTATTACCTCCACTGCCTAACAGCTACTAACCTTTCGTGCCTTTCCAGAAACAACTCCATTGCCTGTCTGCGGGCCAAGGCCCAGGAGCATCAGGCGCGGCTCCTGAACAACGGAGGCCTCTTCCTGCAGGTCCGCAGCTTTGCCGCCCACGCCCAGGCCCATGCCCAGTCGCAGTCCCTGGATATGCTGAAGGTCGGGGAGGGTCCTGGACAGAACGCTTCCCAGTCGCTGCCCAATCCCGCATCCAGCATCAAGCTGGAGTTGGCAGGCGGAGGATCCTTGGCCGTGGCCGGCGAGGATGTCTGACAGAGGAAGCCGTAGGGTTCTCAGGCCGCTCCTTACGGCCAGGACGACAAGAGTGCAACACGCCCCGTTACTTAGAACCGCCCCCTGCCTCAATCCAAGCACACACAAGACACCCCACACACCCCACACACTCCACACACTCCGAAACCAAATCAAAGAGAATCGAAACCAATTTTTTTTACGAAACCTAAGCTTAAGATCCAGTAACCGCGTATTGAAAAGAAAACAAACACTACAAGTAAGTTTATTTTAGCTGTAAGGACACAAGAGGTAGTATTCTAAGAGGTCCTTCATCAAGGACCCACTTTTTTTTTCAAATCTAAGTTGAGTGAAAATGTATGCTACATTTTGGAGGAAGGAAAGAATAAAATTAAAATATAGATGCGATAGAGGAGCGTGTTTTAAGGCCTTCCAGCGATTCTACAGGGGTTTTTCTCATCGCCCTCTGTAACTTACATTCTACATTACCTTACTTTCTACATTATCTTACTTTCTACATTACATTTTTGTTTCCTTACTGTAGCTTACATTTTTACTTTTTACATCTTACTTGATTTTTACTTTTATTTTTAAGTATTATTTTCTCACTTTCTTTGCGTTTTATACTCGATTTAGGTTATGATTTTTATACCCGTCGGTTTTGCTCGGAACTGTTATAATTTCGAATAGTCTGGCAGCTCTATTCTTCGTCAACGGCAGAGGGCGTTACAGAAAACGAACACCAGATGGTGAGTGGCTTGCTTTTATTTTATTTTCTTTATTTAATGGGGCTTCTGCTTAAGTTTCTATGAATTTTTCATAAAAAAATAGAGCTAAAAAAACACAAAATAAATTCAGAAAAATTATATATGTAGCAATAATGATTAATGCCTCTAGTAGGGCTTGAACTCACTTCGATTTCTTTATAATTTCTGGCAAATCGGTCAATGCCATATTGCGTATCAGGCAGAGGTCGTCTATGGCGCATCGCGTAGAGGTGCCGGTACTCGAATGCTCGCTCGCGACTGTCGACGTGGGTTCGAGTCTCACTGACTTCAATCTTTGAATAAATTAATATGTATAGGATTTTATAAAAGAAAAAAAGGTTTTTAGGGTCCGTACGCCACGCTGTTATTGTTGAAAACTCTCACAATAAGAGTGCCAAATATAAATATTTGTATTTGTTGTGGACCAGATTAAGTAAAGTCTCTGAAGGAAGCTGATCGATCCGTCGAATCTAATTTCTAGGACTTCAGTGCCAATTGATGAGACACACTTTTTTTTATAGAAATATATATTTTTGGAAGAAAGATTCCTTGCTGAAAAGTTTTTAATAATTTAATTTGAAAATTTAAAATGTTTTATTGCCTTCCGCTCCAAATTGGCCACAAAGGGATGAGGATGAGGTATAGAAGAGACTCTGGAAGGGGACAAAGGATGTGCGACAATTACAGGCTCCGTTCCGGAGATAAAACGCGAATGCCGAAAATTAAAAGTAATGCCAGGGCCAATGGCAACAACTGCCAATGAGGAATGAAGCGAGGAAGGCGGCCAAAGATTCCTTTATGCCATCATTTATTTTGGCCGCATTAGCATCCTGCCCCTCACTCGTTTGCATAGCTGCGGCGAAAGGAGGAAGGTCAAAGGTTGGGGTGGCCAAGGGGTCTATTCGGGATGGTTTTGCGGCCCGCATTTCAACGCGTCATTTGGCCACCGCCACCGCAACGACGAAGGGCCAGGGTAGCCACATTCTGGATCCTGGATCCTGGAGATAAATTGCACAAGGAACGGCGGCCTGACTTTGATTAAATGCGCGTTTGATTTGAAAATGATTTCATTAATTAAGGCCGGGCCACCTTTTCCGCTTTTCCGTTTTTCGCGGTACAGCTCCCCGCCCCCCACTTAATTAGAAATTATTTTTGGCTAAAAGCTATCATCTGGCCCGGATCTGAAACCCCGGGCTATTATTGCCTTTGAGGGCTCTATTCCTTGAAGTCTTATCTGTGGATCTGTCGACGGCTAATTAGGCGGAATTATGATTTGCACGAAATAGGAAATGATTTCCACTAGAGCGACTAGATTGTAAACTCTATTATCCTTAATAGAGGAGATTAACTACTGCTTACTCCTTTTTTTTTTGATCCTAATTAATGGTCACATAAATCATCTGCCGGAAGCTTAGTCCTCCAAGTGGCGTGCCACGAAATGGCCACAAAATCAATATGAAGTGGACACTGGGCACTGGGCACCACATGATTGCATTTCAATCATTCAGGGATTGGCCGGGGAGCCCCTTGGTCCTGGCAGGACATGAAGAGGCTGACTAACTGGCAAACAAGACTAATTAATTTCACTTTACGTGACTTGCATGGCCAAGGAAGACTGGGCCGAGAAATTATGGCACATTATGTATGGGAAGTGCCAAGAGCTGCCAGCGAAGGAATAATTAAATGACCATTTAGCCCCAAAGAGTGGTACTTCCAAAAAAAAAAAAGAAGACAATGAGAAATGTCACTAAATTGTTTTTCCTCCTAAAAGGCCAACACACACAGTGGCATGTACTAATCCGCCATTTGGGCCTGGTCTGTATCCCTTTCAAGTCCAAACCATAGTGACCCAATTTGATTATGAATTTGATTATGAAAATGAATTTATTTTGACACAAAGTGCATGAATATATTGTGCTCTTCATTACGCCGCATAATGTACTTGGGTACCAACAATAACAAAGCCGAAAAGTTGGCCAACTCAACTACCAACTAAGGTCGCACAACCAACCAACACACACAGACACACAAAGTATGAATAAATCGTGCCAAAAATAGACAAGAATCGGGCGCAAACTTCATCATCAAACTGGCAACAAAAGTAATAATAATGAGGCACATCCAGCCCCGGGGAGGTGGGGTCCAGCCCAAAGCTATGCCAAGGTGAAAAGAGGGTGGGGTGGGATGGAGGGGGGCAAAAGGTGCGAGGGCGCTAGAAACATTTTAAAAGCCAACAATGGCAACAGCTTACAGAGTCGGCTAAAACCAAAACCAAAACAAAAACAGAACCAGATAAGGAGGACGGAGGAGGATGCCTCTGTTCAGAGTTACGGATAATACGGATAAGGGAACAAAGGGCGCAGGCCACAGGTGAGTTGGAGTCCGGCTTTGGAAGAAGTGGGGGGAGGCCTTGAAAAATGAGAGTGATATGTTTGGCTGAGACTTTTTATTTAAATATTATTATTATTTTTCTTTTTATTTACAAGACTTTAGTGACATTCAGATTCTTAGAAAACTACTTAAAGACAGTCTAAAATAAAGATATATATGTATATATTCTCAGATAGTAACCAGTTATCGGAAGAAGAAGAGTGAGAACCTAAATCTACAGAAGAAGAAGCAGCAGAAGAACAATAAGATTTATCTCTTTGGCATTTGCTAGCGTTCTCTTTCTAGTTCTTCCCCCCGTCTCGCTCTCGTTCGCTATGAACTTTCCACTGGCGTTTATCTTGGACTCTTCTGCTGCTTCTTCTGGTGGCTTTTCTTCCTCAACTCTTGACCTACAATGCCAGATAACATTGTGCACAATTAGATAACATCGTTGCGTTCCACAGTTGCGTTGCGTTTTTCTCCAAAGCTCCACACTTGACTTGACCAGAGAGCGCTCTTTCAGATACTCGCATTCTCACAGATACTCGCACTCACTCACTCACTCGCACACTCACACACACACGCGCTGGCTCGTAAACATAGCTGGGGCTCTGTAGCTATACACCTGGAAGGGGAGTCTATATGGTTTGGGTGGCCACGTCCCTCTGGCGACTGCGACGATAGTTCGCATAGGCTTCCAGCCCGTTGAGGCTGAAGACGGTCAGGCCGAAGAACTGCAAGATATAGATACTTTCAGATCTGAGGCTGCCACTTCTAGACCAGGCCAAGAATGGCTTTCTTACCGCTCCCACCGTGTAGGCTCCGATGTCCAGGGACAGCACCAGGCCGGAGGCCGTAAAGTAGCCCAGGGCGAGCGAGGAGTGGACGGCGAGCGACCAGATAACCGGGTCGCACCGGCGGCACTGGCGCTCCCAGAGGCGCAGGTACTGGGCGAGGAGCAGCACCAAGGTGGCCCCGAATCCGAGCGAGACGACGACCAGGTAGAAGCTGCCGCGGAAGTTGCTGATCCGCACCGGTCCGCAGGCGATGCACAGAAAGCCGATGAAGCTGCACAGCTGTTTGGGGGCGGAGGAGAAGGAGAGTCACTCTCTGCAAACTGGGGGGAGAGTCACGGCCAGCCAAGATACTCACCAAACATGCCACCTTGCAGAGGCCGGACATGCTGCGCAGGTACTGGCGATCGTAGTCCTGGCTTCCGGCCATGATTCGGGAGTTAAGTCGATCCGGCAGATGTGGCTGGGAGGCAATCGGAGGATTTGGAGCGAGCGTGGAGTGTAGGGCCGGCGTACGCGGTGCTGACTAATTTCACATTGCGCTCTCGGCAGGCACGGACCGCCACTGAGGAGCTACTGACCGAAAAAATTGGATGAAAAAACGCACTCAGAACGCTCCAATCGCGTCACACTCTGCGAGCAGAAACAACAAGTGGGAGAGCCCAAAGAGAGAGACAGCGTGACAGTGAGAGCGCCACTTGGAGCCCCAACACAAGGCACAGTGGGGCGAGTGGGAAAAGCTGTAAGTAAATTTTAAAAGTCCTAAAAAATATAAAGTCACGGATGATTAAACTTAAGATTAGTCAGAGGGAATTCAATAACCCTCTGAGAAGAATTCAGAGAAGAATTCTATGAGAGAGTCTTTTATTTTCTCTGCTCTTCACCCACAAAGCCCCATTGTTTTCCCATTCAAATTAGCCAAATGTGTTACTTTTCTCCCCTATACTATATTCGCGGCTATTACCGACATTGGGGATGGCCAACACGCCATATTGGCCGTGACTCACCGCGCCCGAGTCCCCCAGGGACATATTTTTAATAAGCAAGCCGACCACCAGTTGGGAGAGTCTTTCGGGCTCATTTCTGGCCCATTGTGGCCCCCCCAAAAAAAAAAAAAAACAAAAAGATTGTTTTGCCAGCGACCCGTGCCACACTCTTGCAGCTCTTCCGCTCGAAAGCGAAATTGATATGCGGGCAGACCTTATCAACGGTGGGTTCCCAGCACCACAAACAGCACCAGCACCAGCACCATACCAGCCCCAACGTTTATCGTTATTGTTATCGGGGCGGGCTAATTGATTGATTGGGTAACTAAGCTAGTAGCTATAGTAAACCGGGCTAAACGGGGCTCGTCATGCCCCACAGTGGCATGCAAATGCAACTGTTCCAAGTGTCCAAATCAAATGCAATTTCAGCGTGATTCACACACCAAACAAACAGACGCCAACAAGTTGGGGCAAGGTAAGGGGGCCATAACGACTCTGGAATACCCTACGATTAGAAAATACTAATATTTATTTCAAGAGCTCTTAAGAGTCTTTCTCTCACATACTTATTATTAAAAAATATATAAATAATATTTATAAATCATTTTGAAGCCCCATACCCCCATTGGTAGAGCAACACATTCCATCACGACACCGAATTGAGTTATATTAATTGACTCATATTCAGGCAAGATGGCTTTGGAGCAGTTGATGGTTGTGTGCCAGATGGGTGGCCCACTCACACAGCCCCCCTCCCACGCTGGCAAGGTCACTTGCACAATCCCAGCGTCTCACAAGTATAGAAGTCAGATGGAGACTCGGATTCGGCGGAGGGAAGCCTTTGACCCAAAGAGAGAGATACAGTGGGCAGATGTCAGATTTGTAATCGACGGAAATGGGCATAGAGTGCATAGACAGCCGGAAATGGCCAGTGCAAAGTGTGAACACACAACACAACACAATCCCTTCCCCGGAGGGCAAATGGGTGGGGACAGCGGATCTAATGGCATTCAAACGAACTGCACTTGGAGCCATTCCAGCGATAAGCCGAACAAAGAAGTGCAATTCCACTCCCGGGGGTAATAAGCAAGCAATCAAAGAGCCATCTCCATGGCGGGTCTGTTTACACGATTTCTAAAAATAAATATTCTCATCTTGCTCATCGATAAACAGCGATTCGAGCTCGAGAGTGGGGCAAATAAATAGTGACCCTGGTCGGGTGGGGGCTGGCGGAGGATTCCCCCTTCCCCGGGGCAGGGAGGTAAAAACGAAGGGCAAACACAAGTTGATTACTTTCTCGAGTGGCGAATGTATTATTTTTTGTGCGTTTCCTAAGAGGTTATTATCCAAAGAGATGTAATGGTTGAAGTAATGTGTTATTACTGCTTGAGTTTGCAGTTCAAGAGTCTCAACTTCAGGGGCGATAATTACTTACAGCATACACTTAAAAAATAGTCACTCATTAGTCATATAATCTGATCTCTGATCGGTTATCATTTCAAATATTCACAGCCCGCGAAGTATAACAGCGGTTGGCTGTTTTTCAACACTGCTCTGGAACTAACAGTGACCGTGTGCTGTTAAGTTCCCCTCTTTACTTTCTCTGCTCTGTTAGCGCGATCACTGACACCTTTTATCCTTTTCGTCCTATTTTCGTTCGTTTAAGTGAGTTTTTATCGCTTGTTTTTGTTAAATTAATAAGAATAAAGGTTAAAATTAAGGATTAAATGGGAAGCTACAAGTAAACGATCGAATTATTGTGAAAATCAGCAAGGAGAGTCAAAGGACGTGATGGTCCTTCTTTGGAAACTTTCTAGTGCTCTTTCTAGTGTGTGTTTTGTTTAATTATCGTTTTAAAAAGCTCTAAAAATGTGATTTGTTTAATTACTGTGACTTTGAAAGACGATATCCCCATTTACATCCTGATTTTAAAGCCTATTTGTTGAAATTCAAGCTGGGTGCCGCGTCGCGTGGGTGGAGGAGGCGTTGGAGCAGCGCCCCACTGTGGAGAGCCATGGAAACATGGCCATATATGGACATACGTATGGAAGTACAGTCACAAGTGAGTCTCTTAGAATATACTAGTCCTTATTACTTTATTATCCTAGGAAGAAGGGTTATGGGAGCTTCTTTTTTGGGGCTTTTGAATCATAGAACTATCTTTGAATTTCTCTCACTGCATCATCCCAATGAACATGCCTGCTTGCAACTAATTTAGTGCACTTTTTAGTCTACTTCCCATGCACATGGCTGAGCTTTGGCTTACCCCCCAGAAGGGTATGTGTTTGTGCATCTAATTAGGAGAGCAGTGAGTGTAATTGGCAGCTGCAACAGCGGGTTTTTGTTTGTCTTGGCACTGGATAGCGATAATCCGAAGGCATCTACAAGGACATTATGTATTTAAAAACAGGACGAAGCAGGATAGGACGACCACTTGTTGATAACTTCCTGGAAAAACTTTCTCCCTGTTGGCTTTTCTTTGGAAAACTTTCGCCAAACTCGAACAATTAGCCCAGGGAGTCGGAGTTAACATAATTAATCGCACACTCCGCCGGAGACCAGATGGCAGGGCCATTGGGAGGGGCGGTATCTGTCAGATGCAGATACAGCCACTCCGATTCGTGCGATTCGAATGCAAAAAAAGGACAGAAGGCAGGCGGTGGGCCTCTCCCAGTCTACCATCCACAATCCAAACTCCAACGACCTCGACGTATCTGAATCCGCTCGAATGTATCCGTCTTTGTGCCTTTTATCTTGGCAGTGAGCGGTGCACGTTGTGCGGCCGACAGACGCCATCTGCCCGGGGCTACAGCCCAGGACAAACACACACACAGGCAGGAGTACAAAGGATGTATAGATATGGATATACCCCACTCCAAAGTCGCTGCAAACATTTATGCGCCTTATAAATGATTATCGTGTGCACTCGAGTGCCAGAGTCATCAATCAAGTGGACCAAGTGCAACAGGATGTGTCTCTCCAGGAGCAGAGACTATCTGCTATCCATTTGTATCTCTGTGCTGGAGTTCTAAAGCGGAACTTGGCTCCAAGGGGGCCAAGAGCTCGGGTCAATTAGCCGAGCCACTTGAGAGAGTCTCCTCCTCGGCAAGCACAATATTTATGTTTGAATTATGATAATCCCCGGCAGTGTGGGTGCTGAAGCATTGAATTATCGACCAACTTTGAGGTTGCCAACATCGCATTCTGCGGGTAATTTATGCTAATGAATTGTGCCGCCCCCACGCCCCGCCCGCACTGTCCCACTGCACTTCCCAGGCCGATTACAATCAATCCATCCATCAATCAATCGGAATATATTTTCCGCCACATAGTCTCGAGTGCCGGGCTCATTAATGGTCTCGAATGCCTGGCCATATGATTAGGAGAGAGCCAGGCTCTGTCTAGCATGGTCTGTGTTCTGTATTCCTTCACTTTCATCATTTTTCCATCGTCCACCACCTCCTCCGGCTCCTCATTCTCCTCCTTGGTCCAATCAATCTCAAAAATGTTGAATTTCAAATCAATTTAATTGGCATTTTATTGGCCCTGTCCACACACACACACCCACCGAGGAAAGTTCCCTCTGGCATCGTCTCTGGAGCTGCTCCTTGGGAGGAGTCCTTACCCTCCAGCTTAGTCCTTATTTTTTTCTTGCTGCGTTCGCACATTTTAAAGCAATTCGCGTGATTTTTGATCAATTTATTTTGCTGGCTACCGGATGCCCGGATTGGCTCGAGTCCAAGGACCTCGCCCGGGTCCAGACTGCACCTGCATGGCCACGATTTACGACGCTGTGCTTGCCACTTATGTAAGTGCTTCGTTGGCTCTGAAAAGTTGTCTGCCATTTTGCAAGCTCCAGCGAATATAGTAGCAGTGGCATGGGTAGTGGCAGTAGTGGCAGTGGCAGTGGCATCTCCCCTCAATTGTTTCCCGGGAATGTATTTTTTTTTCAATTTGAATTGAAAGCGTGCCGGGCAGAATCAGGAGTCCAAAGTCAATGGCAGGGTTTTGGAGTAAATTCAATGGAGTGGCACGTAAACCGGACGACCACGTACTTTCAGCCAGCGAAGAAAATTTACGTTTGCATATGCGATGCGGTTATCCGGACTATCCGGGTCACCTATTTGTCTATATATTTTCCCCCCGCCCCCCAGCCAGCCAGGTTTTAAGCTGCTTTTCCGCTAAATGTGCATAAAAATGAGGCAACTATTAAATGACTGTCGCTGCGAGAAAGTTAGAATCTAGTCTAACCACGACAATTGAACTCAGTGGGTTGGAAGTAAGTGGCATCAATAGTGTCGGCTATGTCCTATGTCCAATGGAAAATTTATGGATGCTGGATGCTGGATGCCACCTCAACACCCAAAAAAAAATATATATTTTTGATAGTTTTCTGATGAGTCGACATTATGGCAACCGCGCATACTAGAGAGCATGACCATCCATTTATAATGATAATCCAATACGTGAGCTTCCATCCCGATTTCGCCTGACGTCTGGCGGGTTGCACCAGGTGATGCCTTTCCTACTGGGTGGTAGAGAACTCTCCTCCAGTGGAGGAGAACGGTAATCGAATGCGAATCCGAATGC